ACTAATTCAATGTCAGTGTGCGTATGAAGTAGTGGTTATTGGTACGGAAAAGTGGCATTGGCGCGTCGAGTTCAGATTCTCTTCATCTTTGTTTTTCAAAACACAGTTGGGAAAAACCCAACTCGCCTCAGAGGTTTTTCAGTACATATTGCGCTATATTTCCTTGATGGGTAACCAGTCATATGATGGGAAATTTAAATTTACAATAATAAGGATGGGCCTTCGGACGATTGCTACTACGGCCTCATCTTTGTGCCCCAATGATTTTTTACGTTACCCGTAATGTTTCGTAATTTTTTTTGTGTTGTGTTTTAATATGTTTTATTTTGTTTTTCTGGGATGACAGTATTCACGAACCTATTAAGAAAATAGTCAAAACTTTATCCATATTTTTACTTTCCATTAAGGCAGAACGACCGAAACGTAATAATAGCAACAATTTCAATTTTTTGCTGAATTGAAGATTTTAGAGGTTTTTCAAAACGAAAATACGACAATCTGCAGGATAAAAAAAAAAAACCATGTAGACTATTTTAAAATTATTCGAAATTTGTCCTGTATCTTTGTCGCCATATTTATTAAAACGTTTCGGCCCTTCAGTATTTGTCTATATTTCTTGCGTGAATTTTAAAAAAATTTACATTATTTTCTATTGTATATCTTTGTCGCCATATTTATCATGAAAATTTCGTTTCAGTATCTGTCTATATTTCTAATATGAGCTATTTTTATACACTATTTACATTATTCGGACTATTTGTCCTCATCTTTGTCGCCATATTTATTGAACGTTTCGGCCTTTCAGTATCACCTATATTTTTTAGATGAGGTATTATGTACCCTATTTACATTATTGGACTTTTGTTCTCATGAACCGTCACTATATTTATTACAACACATAGCTTTCAGTATCTGTCTAAATTTTAAGATGATTGCTATGTATAGATTTTACAAAATTCGGACTATTTTCCTACAAATCTTTGTTAAAATATTTATTTTTTACGTTTCGGCCCTTCTGTTAAATAAATTCTGATTTGCCAAATACGAATTTAGATTATTCAATAAGTTATCCTCATCTTTGTCGCCATATTTATTACACATTTCAGATTTCAAATCTGTCTATATTTCTGAATGAGATATTAAATACCCTATTTAGAATTCAGGACTTTGTCCTCATCTTTGTTGCCATATTTATTAATTTATTTCGGATTAAGAATCTGTCTAATTTCTGAGATGAGATATTATGTACACAATTTACATTATTCAGACTATTGTCCTCATCTTTGTCGCCATATTTATCACAAAATTTCGTTCATTGTATGCTCCGGCCTTCTTCAAGTGGTTGGAATGTTGGAACTGAACCCTTTATTTCGCTCGCTGGGGTAAACTGTTCTACATTTATATACATTACAAACTAAACTAAGCCCAACTGAATATTTAAAGGTTAAAAAACCTTTGCGGTTTTTGACGTCATTCTGGGGTCTTTTTTCGTCCAACACCGTGAATTTGTTTTGCTCATGCTAAGTCCCGAAAAGACACTATATAAAATTCATTATATTTTATCCATAATGTTGAATGTGTTAAAATTATTCAGCTTTTTAACACGAAAAAAATCGCAAGTTGATTTTAAAAATTATCGCAAAACATTGTTGAATTATGATGCAATGATCTATTATGTGAAGTCTCTAATTTGTATTTAGATACATTGGATTTATTTTCAATGTTTCTAGTTGAATTGTTCACTTATGTCGCATATGATCCATTATTGTACATAATTACTTACGATAAAGTTTTATTTTATATGCATACTGCCTCATGCAAATTGAGATGAAGTGGTGTTGGGGGATCCTGTATCATAGATTCGGGAGTGGTATGTATCATCGATTCGAGTGTGGGGAACATGACACTTACACCTGACCTGGGACCAAGCAGTTGGCTCGACTTCAGAGAACACCACAAGAAAATTTTAAAAAAGAAAAATAACTTGTCGCGGATGGCAAGTCACGTGGTATATAAATATTTTAACTAAAAGTAGTTGTAAATATTTTTTAAATAGTGTGTTCTCCTCCTAAGTATTTTTCAGGAAAAACAGTCAACCCAGACTCGAATCAGTAATACCGACCCGAAAAGACTAACTCTCTAAACTCAAGAATACCATCTTATCAAACCGACACGATTGCTACCCTTATCTTTTGGAGGCAAGCCTGTGCTTCCACATGGAATGACACACTAATATCACTAACATAAGATAACGCTAATAGTGTGACACAACAGGTCCCCCGTTCTGTAAATGATTTTATATGGGCCGAAGTGACAACGAACAATAAAATCTATAAATGACATTTTAAAGCAACAACCCGCTATTTTCAAATAAGGAAAAAGTAAATAGAATAAATAAAATCATTCGGGATCAAGTATTCCCCGGGCGGATTGTATGGAATTCCGTTCGTGGACCTATAAAATCAGAAGTCGTCCGTTAAACTATTTTTGGTTAAAATATTTATATATCACGTAAAGAATAGTAAGGCCTCCGATCAGGAGGTTTTGAGGAACGTGGAACCACCTCTTAATTGATGTTGTTCCCAGGTTCGCCTTAACCAAGGGTGGTAACACTTGTTAGGGTCCCAGCTATGGGTAAGTAGTTCACCAACAAACTGGGGTCAAAACATTATGAAAGTGTAAAAATAGGTTTTAATATCAGAAATACTTTATAAAACATTATTACCTGCCACAGATTTTTGAAGAAAATTTATTACCAGCAATACATTTTTAAAAAAGAAATTACCAGCTATACATTAAATAAAAATTACCAGCAATACATTTTTGAAAAAATATATTACCAGCAGTAAAAACCTGTCGCTATTAAATAACCCAGTGAGGTTGATATGCCGTAAAACAAAACAAACGAAATCAAACCAAACCGTTTTTTTAAAAATATTACCAACAATAAAAATCTTTCGAGTCATAGTGGACAGTGTTTCTATAAACTATATATATTATCATTTACAATAAATAAGGTGAAAATGGGGTGAAATAAATAAGGTGAAAATAAGGTGAAAAAGAAATTCCGGTGAAAAAGAGAAAATGGTATTAAATTAAAAAACGTACCTCTCGCGAGACGGATTCGAACCATCGACCTAATGATTACAGTTATTCCATATCATCTACAGTCCTCCGCTCTACCAAGTGAGCTATCACTAGATGCTGTATTTCGCTGCCTTGAGCTAGCATATTATCATTGTGCTTGTCTTTCCCTGCGTTAGTTCCAGTCAATACCTCACAAACAACGGACTATTTCGTTTTGATCGCGTGGAAAGACGAGAATAGACATTTGACTTCAGAAAATAGAAAAAAGAAAGAAATGGAAAAAGTTGTCATTTTCAAATTTTTTCATTTGTACCTCCTTACTTTTTAAAATAACGAAGACCATTCACATTAATGATGCTTTTCTAAACGTAGCTTAGGTGTGGCGCAAGGATGAAAGTATGGGGCATTCGATGAGGATAGAATTGACTACGTAGTCGTAATTGAGCTAGCGAGACAAGCTTACTAAACATTACACGACGTCTAGGTGCCCAAAAGATTTTTAAGTGTAGCTTAGAAGTGGCAAAGGGTCGAAAGTGTGGGCAATTTTCCAAGTGAAGGGCTCACACAGAGGATCGAACTCACTCTTCATTCGTAACTGATCTAGCGAGACAAGCTTGCTCACAATTACATTACGTCAAAGTGTCCCTGGCAGTCATGTTTGCGATTGTTCTATATTTTCTTAAAGTTATAAAGCTCAAATATTTAACGAGGTAATAGGGGAATTTTTATGGATATTTTATTCTTGCAGAACTCGTCATGAGTTTATTTAGCCCTTAACTTAAGAATGAAGAAGATTCATCAGCATTTCAAAAAGGAAAACCACGTAATTTTCACTGGTTAAAACTCAGTCAGTTATGTGCCAGGCGATCATATATCTTTCGATACATAACTAAAGAGAGAGACTTTTTTTACGAGCAGTAGGTTAGTATTTCTTTCTGCGGTAGATCAGTTGCCATCCATGGCTATAGAACCCAATCTGTTCTGCTATTTACCAATAGTTGCGGAGAGGATTCATAGCTTTCCCAAGCACGTAAGTGAATATAATGGATTCGAATGGAATTCGAACTCGGCTCTCCGCTTCCTTAATCCTAGTCGCTATCCATCACTCCACTATACCTCCTAAAGTCAGTTATGTGCCGTGCGTGATACACGCTTAGGCGATCATGTATCCTTGCCATTTCTTTCTGCGGTAGACCAGTTGCTATCCAACGCTATAGAACCCGGTCTGTCTTGCTATTTACCCATAGCTGGGGAAAGAAGTCGAGGATTCATATCTTTCCCAAGGGTATTAACACGTAAGTTCCTCGATTTGAGCCGCTATCCATGACTCTACCAGGCCCTCCTTTACAACGATATTATATAAAACAAGCAATTTAGGAGAGAAAAGAAAATGGTGTGAAATTAAACAAAAAAATAAGAATATTCGAATGATTGACTTAAGGACAAAAGCGCCTTTAACTTTACATTATTCCACTTTATCGAATATGCATGGCGAGATGTCGAGCAACAGAGTTATAAACTGGTACAAATTATTATTTAAAATAATAAGAACTTTGTGCGAAAAGAGAAAATGCTATTAAATCTGAAAAAAAAAAAAATCTCGCGAGACGGATTCGAACCATCGACCTAAGGATAACAGCTCCCCAATCACTACTACAGTCCTCCGCTCTACCAACTGAGCTATCGCGAGACGGCTAGCGTTCTTTTATTAAGTACTAATATATCATGTTTTTTGGCGTTCAATGGCGTTTTTCAAATCATTCACAATTTGTGAGTATAATACATTTTTCCCTTCATATTTTTTCCGTCGTTTTATTTGCGTAAAATAAAAAAAATGGCCTAATTAAGATTGAATTGGTTATTTTGCAACATTTAATTAATAAAAAAAAAAACACTTCCTGATGTACGTGATTTCATTTAATTGATATTTTGTGTCGAAAATCGATATGAAGCCGGCTTTCGTCGTAGGATTTACCTCGATTAAAATAACAATGAAAAGAAAGGCAAAAGAAAGGACTGGTCACTAGAATGTTAAACATGTGGTTGTCGCAGAACGTTGGATTTTATAATCAAAATGGATGAACACTTAGCAAATGTTGTTTCATAAGGTTTATTTCTTGAATACAAATACACAACTTGTATCCTTGTTCGCGAGACAAAGTACGCTGGGATAGACAGAGAGATAGTGAAAAAGAGAGACTACGTTGGAAAAGAGAGAGCAAGTACGTTGCAAAACAGAGCGAGTACGTGGAAAAAGAGAGACAGAATGTACGTTGGAACAGAAAGAGAGAAAGTACGTTGGAAAAGAGAGAGAGGCGGTACATTGAAAAAGTGAGTGCGAGTACGTTGAAAAAGAGCGAGGGTACGTTGTAAAATAAAGACAGACAGCGTACGTTGGAATAGAGAGAGAGAGAGAGAGAGAGAGAGACAGAGACAGAGACAGAGAGAAAATAAGTTGGAAGAGACAAAAAGGCCGTTGGAATAGAGAGATTAAAGTTGAAAGAGAAAGGACGTTGGAAAAGAGAGTGGGTGCACTGGAAAAGATAGGGAGAGTACGTATGAATAGAGATAGAGGGTTGGAAAAGTGAGAGAGTACGTTGGAACAGGAAGAGAGAGAGTACGTTGGGACAGAGAGAGAGAGTACGTTGGAATAGAGATAGATAGAGAATGTTGGAAAAGAGAGAGAGAGAGAGTACGATGGGAAAGAAAGAGGGAGTACATTGGAAAAGAGAGAGAGTACGTTATAATAGAGAGAAAATGGATACGTTGGTACAGGGAGAGAGAGAGAGAATGTTGGAAAAAAGAAAGACTGAGAGACAGAATACGTTGGAATACAGAGAGAGAATATGTTGGAACAGAAATAGTGAGAAGCAGAGTACGTTGGAAAAGAGAAAGAAAGAGAGACAGAGTAAGTTACGACAGACAGAGATAGAAAGTTGGAATAGAGAGAAACAGGGTGCGTTGGAACAGAGAGGCAAAGAGACAAAGAGAGAATAATTCGTTGGAATACATAGAGAGTACATTGTAACTGAGAGAGAAACAGAATGCATTGAAAATAGGGAGGAGAGGGAGAGAGAGAACGTCCTCCTTTGTAGTAGGCAGCCGTCCTGATTATTTCATTTATGGCTTAAGTGGAGTCGACAAGCCAGACTCGCTTTCTGGCGAAGGGATAAAGAAGACTTTCACCCTTCTTTCTGGATTTTTACTGAGCTAGAAAACGGGTTACAGAGTGCAGTGAGTGAAAGTAGCATTGTCGTTCGCTTTGGTACTGGATCGATCTTCTTTTGTTTTCGCTTAAGATTCTCGCTTCAGAAATGAAGTTAGCTGATTGACCCTTCATCATGAATGCCAGTGTTGATGTTTATGAGTTGTTAAGAAGATAATAAGCAGATGATACTTTTCAGGAGATTAAGAAATATTTCTATCTTATTTATTAGAATTTGATACTATTGCAAACATCTTCGAACAGTTCGTTACTGTTGTCACAATGACTGACATCTAGTGTCAAAAAGTAAGAAAATCTTGAACAGCAAACGCTAAGAAAAGACACAAAATATATACAAGCTGTTGTGGATTCCGTGAATGGAATCCTGCACAAATAAATAAACAACGTCAGTAATTGAGATAAAAAAATAATTGTATTAAACGTAAGAATACAGACTTGAAGTGAATATTAGTAGTCCAGGAATGCGGGTTAGTAGAAAGTATATGTACAAATCTCTGTAAGTAAAGCCGTAATCTCTCTCTCTCTCTCTGGACTCTTGTATAACTCTCTGAGAACACCCTGTGTCTGTCTCCGTATCTCTCAACCTGTCTCAACGTATCTCCACGTATCTCCATGTATCTCGATATTTAACATTCCACCCACGAGGAATGTATGTGGCACAAGGCCGAGTTTAAAGTGAGTTTCTCCGATCCCGTAGGCTCATCCAAAAAATATCCCCTTTGAACCCGCATGAGCAGGTTCGGGATCTGCCTACCTCCCCAGACGAAACCTTGCCCTTCGGCAAAGCTTCGTCCGGGTTCCTCTCTGCCAAAGCAGAGAGTTCGACAGACGTCGCACACAGTCAGAGACTGCATCTCGACGTATCTCAACAGCAGGTATTCTCTCTGCCAGTATAAGTACGCTTTGGACGAATCCATCTGATGTAAAAAGGGGAGAGCCCCCACAACACAGGTTTTGATTAAAAATATCGGGGCTATTTTTATGACAATGGAACTAAAATAGGCAGAGTAAATCCTCTTGGAACAGACTGACCTTGAAATCTGTTATAAAGTTATTTATTAAAGTTATAACGTTCTCATTCACTCCCTTCGTTTATGGAAGTGATTCGCAGGAAAGTGTGTAGAGTGTGGTCATCTCATCATTCCAGAAGAGTTCCATCAGTGACCATGGCTTGTGCACTAGATTTTAGCCATGCACAACATTCCCCAGGTCCGAAAATCACCATATCCCCAGATATCCCCACCTTGCGACTTTTTCATTTCTCCAAAAATCAAATCCCACTTGAAAGGAACAAGATCGTCGTCGAAGAAATCCATATAAATGCGAGGAAGCTGCAGCTCGTTATCCTTAAAAATGGAGGTCTATGAATGCTTCCATCAATGGAAATGACGCTGGATAAAGTATATGGCTTTAGAAGGGTATTACTTCGAAGGAGATAAAATGCCGATATGTGTTGTACTTTTTTTTTATAGCACTGGTCCCGATATTTTGATCAGACCTCGTAAACCTACCCGTGGAGTGTAACATATTGAGAAATGAAAGCCTTGATTTCAGGCTCATAGTAATCATAAATAGTCAATGAAAATAAGTAAAACTATCTTATATGACGGACTTGAACCTTCGTTTTTAGGATCTAGATTTAACTCCAATCCTAACCTGGCCTATATTCGGGGCTTGCTATTACAGTCCTCGCTCTGCCACATGAGCTATCATAAACATTCTAGGAAATCCTGTATTAATTATAGTGTTTTTGGAATATGCTAAACGCCATTAGTAAAAAAAATTCAGAAGAAAAGACTAAATGTGACACTATAAATGGTCGAAATTAAGGAAAACCAAAAAATGTAAACAATGGAATTTGGAATTGGGTCGAATTTTGGAAATCTACAAGCAAACAGAATTCATTGGAATACTTTTTTAAAGTGTTGACAGGAAAAAGTATGGTTTTGATAAAACGGCCGATAGTAGAGAAATGTGGAAGCGATGTTTATTGTTTCGAAATACAAGACCGCTTTGTTTAAGGTAGATTTAATGTCTCCAGGGTTGGAGAAAATAATTAATTGAGGAATACGTAATGAGCTTTCAGGGGCAGTAAGAGTTGGGCAAGATGCATATAAACTGGACGTTCTGTTTAAGCCGACAGTAGGAGCTACTGTTAGAGAAAGCTGGGACGAATCAATATCGCATGAGGAAGCTGTTGAACCCCACGTGACCTGCCGCCGAGGTGGCCTGACCTAATATTTCGCATGAATGTTTAACCTGCGCCAAGTTTTAGAAGCAAGAGATACAATGTCACGATATAAAATATAACAGGAAGGGTTAATTTTGTTGTATCAACGATTATATAAACCCAATGAAAATGAACCCAGCAGTCTTCTTCGTTATTTGTTATGATATTTGTGTTTTCGACAGCGAAAGCATTCTTTTACTTTTTCATCGGGCGGTTCCGCCAACTCGATTCAACGTCTAAGTGCAGATCAAAGAACACAACGTGGGCAGAGCAGATGAAGGAAGGAAGCGGTCAATAGATAACCATCAGTTGAAAGGCGCCAGTACTGACCAGCGTGGGAATAAATCAGGTTTGGTTAGGCCTGGCGTGTTTTGTTTTACAGCATATCAACCTAAATGGGTTATTTAAAGCCGACAAGATTTTTATTAATGGTAATATTTTTTATCTATCTATCTATCTATCTATCTATCTATCTATCTCAGTATATATTGGTTTGTTTTGTCTTGTTTTACGGCATTTCAACCTCAATGTGTTATTTAATGACGATAAGATTTCTATTGCTGGTAATATTTTCTTCCAAAAATATATTGTTATTTTTTCCCCAAATGTACTGCTAGTAGTATTTTTTTCAAAAATGTATTGCTTATAATATTTAAAAAAATGTATTACTGGTAAGGATTGAGAAGGACCGGCCGTTTTATATAAATATCTACTGTAAGAAGACATAATGAATAAAATAATAATAAATAAAATAAAATAAACAAATAAAATAAAAATAATAATAATCCCCCCACCGAAGATACGAAGTACAAATTGGAGACATCAAAATCAAGCAAATATGAAAATTTAAATATCCAAAGACGTATTGGAACAGCGAAAGGTGTCTTCCAAAAGCTAAGCAAAGTATTAAGAAACAAGAAAATTTCGTTAGAAACAAACAAAAAAAAAAAAAAGAATACTGAAATGTTATACAATATCGGTCCTCCAATATGAATATTAAATATTGGACCATCTCCTCACAGACCAAGAAGAGATTTGAAGCGATAGAAATGTGGTTCTACAGAAGGATACTGAGAACAGCATTGCCTAAACATGTCAGTAACATGGAAGCCTAAAGGAAAATAAAAACAAGAAAGATACTTATACTTAGCATCAGAAATAGAGTTGAAATTTCTCTGGCACATTGAGGAAAGATGGTTTAAAGAATTTGATATACTCAACGCTCTACTTTATATCTGTGTTAGAGAGAAATAACTTTTTCGTTTCACGATGGGAACGATCATGACTTTCCACAACTTCCTATTCTTTGTAGTTCTTAGTAAGTTTCAATATGTTTGAAAGCAAGAGGATTGTCCTGGGTATGACGATAAACCACATCCAGCAGCAAGACCTCTGATCGGGAGTTTGGAGGTTTTGAGGCGTGTGGAATTACTCCTTAATTGCTATTGTTCCCAGGTCCACCCTTGTAGCACCTGTTAGAGTCCTGGCTATGCGCAAATAGTGAACTCACAGACAAAAAGACCATGAAAGTAATATAAAAATACATTTTTATAGTAAATATACCAGCAACATATTTTTATATAAAATAAATATCAGCAATACATATTTATAGCAAAATTACCAACAATACCTATTTGACATCTGTCTATATTTCTGTATTGTAACTATTTACACTATTTACATTGTTTGGACTGTTGTCCTCATATTTGGTGCTATGATCACGACGTTTAGTCCGTTGTACGCTCTAGCCTTCTTCAGGATATGTCAATATTTCTGAGATGAAGTACTGTAACTATTTACACTATTTACATTGTTCGACTGTTGTCCTCATTCTTGTTGTCATATACACGACGTTTCGGCCGTTGTACACTCTGATCTTCTTCAGGATTTATCTATATTTCTGAGATGAGGTATTGGAACTATTTACACTATTTACGTTGTTCGGGCTGTTGTCCTCATCTTTGTTGTCATATTCCCGACGTTTCGGCTGTTGTACCCGCCGACCTTCTTCAGGATCTGTCTACATTTCTGAGATGACGTATTGTAACTACTTACACTATTTACACTGTTCGGACTGTTGTCTTCATCTTTAATGTCCTATTTACGATGTCTGCAAGGACACATGGCCCAGAGGATAGTAGCGTTTGTCGAAGTAATCCAATGCTTGACCCAAAGAGTTGTGCGACAGCAGAGGAGAACAAAAACATTGGGAGGGTTACTAAAAGGAATTAACTGAAACTGTGAAATCCGGAAGAGATATGGCACGTGGAACTAGAGCAATCTAGCTATGTGGACTAAATAAAGGGTTCGATTTGAAATTTCAACATATATCACCTGAAGAAGGCTGTAGCTTACAACTGCCGAAACGTCGTGAATATAACAATAAAGATGAGGTCAACAGCCTGAACAATGTAAATTGTGTAAATATCTACTTATAGCAGAATTACAAATATATTTTATCTGTAGTTGAAGATTGTGTTCAAAATATTTAGATTTCGGCAGCAAATAACCCATAGACATGTTGATGTGCCGTTAAACAAAATCAATGGAACAAAGAAGAGGGATAGCTGAAAGCGGCGAATAACTTAATGGCTGACAGAGACAAGGATTAAAAGGGATAGTAAAACACTAACCTTACTAAGAGTTACCAAGGAGACGAAGCTGTGGAAAGACATGATCGTTCACGTATTGAAACGACACGCGAAGAAGAAAAATAAGAAGTTATTTCTCCCGAACATAGAGATTATAAATAGAGCTTCTACATAATAAAATTACTTTAGCATAAACGCCAAGAACTGAGGTCATTGTGACATCGTTGAAAAACCGCGGGAAAGTAAATGTTTTTCTCCTAATTCTTTTTTTGCCATCTGAGCGTTAAAAGAAAGTCTAATAAAGACTGTCGGGGTTACCACGACGTTTATTTAATCACAAGAGCCAGAGGAAACGTTTGCTCTCGTGTTTTTTTTTATTTTGATTATTATTTATTTATTTTTTTGGGCATATTATTTTCTCGATAGTAGCGACAGTGTTGATACGACTGGCATGATCACCTTTGGTAAATTCAGAGAAATATATTGACAAAAAAAAAAAAAAAAGAAGAAATCTTTTCACAAGTTCGTTAATATAAAACCTACCCCAAGCATTCCTAATAAAAGTTGTGGGCGGCATATTTTCTGCCGACGCCTCTGAGTCAGTTTTTCAGATAAAGTGAAACCAGAAGTTTGAATGCATATATTCAAGGAAGCTAAGTCTTGCCGATTTGGAGGATTGAAACTAATTCTTACCGATTTGGAGGACTGAAGAGAGGTCTTGCCGATTTGGATGATTGAAACTAATTCTTACCGATTTCGAGGACTGAAGAGAGGTCTTGCCGATTTGGAGGATTGAAGCTAAGTCTTGCCGATTTGGATGATTGTAGCTAGGTCTTAACGATTTGGAGGATATAGTCTAGGTGTTACCGATTTGGAGGATTCAAGTGAGGTCTTATCGATTTGAAGGACTGAAGCTAGGTTTTACCGACTTAACAGATTGAAGCAAGATCTTGGAGATTTGCAGGATTGAATCTAGGTCTTACTAATTTGGAGGATTGAAGCTAGGACTTACAGATTTGGAAGACTGAAGCAAGGTCTTAAGAATCTGGAGGATTGAAACTAGGTCATACCAATTTGGAGGTTAAAAGCTAGGTGTTACCGATCTGGAGGATTCAAGCTAGGTCTTATCGATTTGGAGGATTGAAGCTTGGTTTTATCGATTTGGAAGACTGAAGTAAGGTCTTGGAGGATTGAAGCTAGGTCTTACCAATTGGGAGGATTAAAGCTATGGCTTACAAATTTGGAAAACAGAAGCAAGCTCTTAACGATTTGGAGGATTGAATCTAGGTCTTACGGATTTACATGGTTGAAACAAGATATTACCGATTTGGATAATTAAAGCAAGGTTTTACCGAGTTGGAGGATTGAAGGAAGTTCTTACAGATTTGAAGGATTGAAACTAGGTCTTACTTATTTGGACGATTGTAACTAGATCTTACCGATTTGGCGAATTGAAGCTAGGTCTTACCGTTGTAAATGATTGAAGGTGCGTCTCAACGGTTTGTTGAATGGAAACTTGGTCTCACTGAATTGAAAGATTGAAGTAGGTTTTACCGATTTGAAAGGGACTGAAGCAAGTTCTTAGTGATTTGGAGGATAAAATCTAGGTCTGAATGATCTGGAGGATTTAAGATATGCAGGATCAACATTTCTGACCGATCTGGAGGATTGAATCTAGGTCTTACCGATTTGGAGGATTGAATCTGCATATGGGATCGAAGCTAGGTCTGAACGATCTGGAGGATTTAAGCTAGGTCTTAGCGATTTGGAGGATTGAATCTAGGTCTTAGCGATATGCAGGATCGAAGCTAGGTCTGAACGATCTGGAGGATTTAAGCTAGGTCTTACCGATTTGGAGGATTGAATCTAGGTCTTAGCGATATGCAGGATCGAAGCTAGGTCTGAACGATCTGGATGATTTAAGCTAGGTCTTACCGATTTGGAGGATTGAATCTAGGTCTTAGCGATATGCAGGATCGAAGCTAGGTATGAACGCTCTGGAGGATAGAAGCTAGGTCTTAGCGATATGCAGGATTAGGGGTTAGTATTAGAGGTAGGGGTAGGGGTTACGGGTTAGGATTAGGAGTAGGTTAGGGGTTGGGGTTATTTTACGGTGCTGTGAAAGCAACGAAAAACAGGCAGTCACTCGTTGTTGTTTGTTGGCTTCCGACAATATGTGGGGTACTCACTTGCTGAACTTTACGTCTTCCCTATGCGGTGTAGGTGAAGTCTGACTGTTTTATCGGATACCTGGGAGTGTTAGGCAAGCTCCCCGCAGGTTTGAATTTGACTATTGTCCACATCTATGTCCACCTTTCGGTCCTCTACACCCAAGAGCTGACGACCGGCCACGGAAATGGACACAACTCCCAACCGGAAATTCTCGAACCAATAGTGCGTTTGCTGAAAATTTGACGTATTCTGCGGCTTCATGCAAATGCGGGAAAGAATAACTTGAGGTCATAAAAAAAGGAAACCATGGACGAACTGCTTCGACTACGCCGGGTTTCCTCGCCGTATGTGACCATTCAAGAGAAATGCCCCCACCCCACTTACTTGCAGCACGTGACGCACCCATTTGTCTATCAGTGATCACTTCTTCCCACATGACATAAAATAACAGCAAAGTCTTTTTGGTTACCTTATGTGTGTGTGTGCGTGTGTTTGTGTGTGTGCGCGCGCGCCTGCATCTGTGTGAATACGGTATATTTAAACAGCAAGTATTCATGCAAACAACGTTGATTAAAAAGAATTGACAAGATCTATATGTTTAATTTTTTATATTTTTCCAACTTTCGGATATGGTGCCGATTATTGGGTTCGACGTTAGGGATAACCTGACCGAAGTTCATATTTTGTTATAGTTTGTTCAAGTACTTCCGACTTTCGCAGTCATTACTTCGCCCGTTTTTAATGTCTCGTAATATTAAGTTTTATACTTTTATTTCGATCATTAAATTTTGTACCTACAAAAATATATCTTTAAATATATATATATATATATATATATATATATATATATATATGTGTGTGTGTGTGTGTGTGTGTGTGTGTGTGTGTGTGTGAAATACATAGGTTAAGCACTTTCCTAAGGTGTTCGGAAGTCATCGGTGTTTGCAATAGCACATGTTTCCAATCATCATAACCTAGATTTTGCCTTGTTCAAAGGAAGCATTGTTCACACCACATTATGACTTTTTTCTCTCCCCCAGAAACAGTAACTAATATCTGCTTAATATAGTTAAAGTATAAACTACAGAGCGGGCATCTTTGATAGATTTTGGCTGGCTTCCTTGGCAGGCGGGTGTGCTCAGAAGCGAGTAGTAGCCGACCATTTCATATATATACAGGGTGTATATAATATAATTTTAACAAACATTGGGGGCAGGTTTCTCACACCAAGACAAGGACAAAAATCCATGTCTACATGTATTCAGGAATCCATCTGTTGTATCCTTAAAGAGGTTACAAAAAGACAAACGTGGTACTCGAGTGAAAGGAACAGCAACACGGGCGTAGATGAAAGAAAGAGAGGTTTATTGTAAAAGAGAATACACTACTGAAAGACGGGGAATCGGTTAGCAAGCTAGTAATTCCCGAAGCAAGGAAATTTAACCCACCTACCCGCGAGACAGGATGTGGCAAAACGCCGTTATTAATGCGGAGTTAAAAGCGATCCCGTGGGCTCGGGCAAAATTTCCCCGTAGACCTCGTAAAAAACGGGGTCGGGTAGCTGTCTACCACTCCAGACGACGCTCTGCCCTTCGGTATAGCCTCATCTGGATTCCACACTGACCGAAGGCAGAGAGTTCAACCAGCTCAGATGGAGACGAATCTCCAACAAATCGCGGAAGCAAGGATATTTGCCAATCGCCCCACGCGGTCAGATGCGTCCCAAGGCCGAATTGAGCGTGGTGTATCCGAGCCCGTAGGCTAGGGCAAAAATTCCCCATAGACCGTGTAAAAACGCAGTTGGGTAGCTGTCTACCATTCCAGACGAGACTCTGCCCTTTGGCATAGCCTCGTCTGGGTTCCTCTCTGCAGAGAGTTCGACTAGCTTAGCTGGAGACGAATCCCCAACTAATTCCTGAAGTAAGTCGGCCAACTATATCCTGTGCACACTTTATATATCTACTGATATAGTCAGTCCACAATAGGCGATAGGGAGAGTAGAACATTCTATTACAACACCTTCGTTTTTTATTAAGTTTAAAAGAAGTATACGGTAGATGGTGCTGTGTTGCCATGAGGACTAGGTTACATTTGTCATTCGTGTATATTTGTGGCTAGTCTATCTTCAATGTTTAACGTGTGTAGTAGTGAGTTAACTGAGAAATGTTCCGTTTAATAATGGCAGAATATTCATATCGCGAACAGGCAGATATGATTTTTACATACGACCACGCGAATGGTAAAGAATCGACACAGCACGACTGTACTCGGTTGTGTTTCCAGACCGAATTCAACCGAATTCAACCGAATCATACGAACTTTATTGTTACGTTGCTGACACAGGATCGGTGGCACCACAAAATATGGATCGAGAAAAACCAAGATCTGCTCGCACGCCTGACCACGAAGAACATATTCTACAGTCTTTCGGAGGTGATCCAGGTTTTCAGCACACGTCAAGTACATCTCATAAAAACGCATTGAGGGTACTTCAAGAACAGCTCCTCTATCCGTATTATTGGCAATGTGGGCAGGATCTTTCGCCCTCTGATCACTTATCATGGGAAAACATTTGCCGATGGTTTATTGCACAAACTGCCGATCCGTCGTTTGTCTCTTCGGTCTTGTTTACGGATGAGGCAACATTTGGAAGAGATGGAATAACGAATTTACACCACCAACATCTCTGAGCGGATCGGAATACCCGTGGTAAAATACAGGGTAGAAACCAGCATCAGTTTACGATTATTGTGTGGGCTGGAATTGTAGGTGACTGTCTGGTAGGTCCATATGTTCTCCAAGCACGTCTTACAGGAGCTGACTATAGGGACTTTATTTCGAACGCATTTTCTAGACCTGCTAGAGAATGTACCCCTGCTAATACGAATACGCATGTGGTTCATGCATGATGGGGATCCAGCCCTTTTTAGTCAGTTTTTCGCGGTGCACTGGCTGAATCTACCATGAAAGATTAATAGGTAGGGGAGGACCGGTCCCATGACATGCACGTTCAATCCGACGTCAATTCCTTGGATTTTTACC